AAAAAAACTTCCATACTTTGAAAGCTTCTACTGAAAAACTCACTTTTCAGACTTAGCATACTATGGTTCGGAGGCGTCGATATATAACAACTTTATGGCTGATTATTGTCCTCTGACACTTAATTATAAAAAATAGCACCAAAAATATATCAGTCTGGTTGAAATTCTGATCCTTTAAAGGTTCTATTTGGTCTTAATACGCCACACAATGTTTGAATTATAGGGCTTTATTTTCTAGCGGCGGACGTTTACATCTCAAGGTCGCACACACCATCAGAAATAGGGGTTTTCTATCGCATTTTCGTCAATATAAGCACGTTTGATCTTATATATGCAATTCCGAACCATATTAAAGGATTAGCTTTAAAAACAAACTGAAAAACATGTTAAGGAAATAATATTGAACATTCTGTATATGGCCGAATGTGCCCCACTTTAAAATGCCGAATGTACCCCTAATGTACTTTTTATAGTTTTTTTTTCATTTTTTTTTCGATCAGTTTTGTAAAAACATTATGTTTTTAAATATTTCTACAATAATACACATCGTAGTTAACCACTTTTTAATAATATTGTCTTAAAAATTTAAAATGTTTTATACACGAAATAATTACGAAATGGAATTGAAATATTACAGAAACATCTATAAAAATACAAAAACCTATGTATCTAAATAAGCTTATTAGCTAGAAATTTCAAACTTTGTGTCAGTTATTTATTTCGATATTCGATCCCCATGTATCGAAACTAGTGATGTACGGTGAGAGCTTCATATCGAAAACGCGATTGCCGAAGGTGCCCCAGTCTCCCCTACACAGTGACGAATTGGTGCAACTGACATTGAGACAATACAAATTATGACACCGCACCAAAGGTTTTTGTACTGCAGGGAGGAAACGCTATAGGTACAAAAACAATACTTTATTTTAAATATGTTTCTCTATCTCAACACATGTATTAGCGAACAAAATTGAAGTTGCTGTTCGTTGTGACAGTAATAATACGAAACGATATAACATTTGCCAGTAACACACATTTTAAACAATTCGTAACGATGCAATATTATTATTTTTGATGTCTGATTATGACGTATTTGCCGGTTTAAAATTGTTGGTTAATTCTTCCTTTACTCCGATGAAATGAAATCTCGCCTATGAAATTATTTTTTAAGTTTCATTGTGTGGATATAGAAATTTTCATGTGTTTTGTTTTTATAGCATCGGAATGGGGTTTTTTATAATTTTCTTAACTAGTGGATTTCCTTCTCCTTAGAATTTGTTGGGGTTGCATGTAGCGAGTGTGCATCTCAAAGGCAAACATGTTAACTAATTTCGTAATAATATTTACTCGATTTTTTGTGGTATGAGTTGCAGCTAATCTTCAACATTCGTTTTAGAAGATGAATAAACACTACTCAAATGAATGCTAGGGTGTAACCATTTGGTAAACATTAGAGATTTAGGAATTTACTTCTTTAGGAAGACCCCAGGTATACCTTTAAACTAGTTCTCTCTCTCTCTCTCTCTATCGACATTATTATATATTGGCAACTAATCTAAACGCCAGTGCTTCTAAACAATAACCTTGAATCGTTTTTATTGCCTTTTATTATCATTTTAACGGCAACCCACCCACAAATCGTTTAAATAAATTAAGGTATCTGGTGATTGTTGTAAATAGACATCATCCGCATTTGAATACAAGTTATGATTCCCGCTGCCGGGTGCTGCCATGTTTGTCTAAAACACCGTCAACCGCTTATGAAGGGTCGACACGCACAGCAAATTATTGCCACTTGTTGTTGTGGCTATCCATTTCAGTCCCACTTTTCGCTGAGATTTAAAAATGAATCATCGTCTAAATGGCAACATTCAAATACCCAATTGTTGCTGTAGACAAAACGAAAAAAAAAAATATTTTCCGAATCTTTTGGATTTTGCCCTTATAACCAATAGGTCGATAACAAATAAACAAAACGGAAGCTTTATATACAGACTATCATGTTGCATTAAGTGAACAGATATTGTTCCAAATTGCAGACACTAATTTTGGGATACCTGTGGTAGGAATTTTAACATATATTAAACGGTACCTTTGTAATCGGGCAATTTCAGTGGAAAATTAGATAAAACCCGAATAGTGCCAATATTGATTTTTGGTAGGGATTTTCAAGAGCTCTATTTTACTATAAAAATAGTGCCCATACCAAAGGGGGCATCCAAATATGTAATGTGCACAAAAATTGCATCCCATTCTCTAATTTTAAATACTCTTAAATATTTGTATTTCCTATCGATTTGGACAATATGGAAATCCCATTTACATTCTAGTATTACTTACTCGTGCCTAACGAGTTAATCTTTGCATATCCCAATTAAAATATGTCTATTAGGTAAACGTTATTGCCAATAATGCCAACAAATAGGATAATTTGCAAAACGTGTTGCTACGTAATACCTGGAACCGACAACGGAACAAATCAGACTTGTAGGGATGCAAGACGAGAAAATACACCAATTCCATTACCAAAGATAATCGGTTTTCCAGATTAGAACTGAAACAAGATATTCATTTATGCGATGCTTGCATGTTTTGATTTTTTCGTTTCGTCTCCCAGAAGGATACAGGACACTAAGCATAAGCCACTTGTTTGTAGTCATTTTTCTTCAGTTCTTCTATTCTCAACAAATTGCGCTCTAATTGAATTTGTATGTAAATGTAGTGTGGGTGTGTGCGTGTGCTTGTTTTTTATTTACTGTTTTCCATTGTTTAACATTTTGATTACTTGCCATGTTTCGTTTACCAAACTACAAGCCAACAAGTAAATATCCAAACTCTTGCTAGGATCTCACTAAACTTTTAGAAATGCAACACATACATTCAAGACAACTCAAGACAACGTAATATATATATATATATATGCAACAAATATAATCTACATACGAGTACGAGAATATGCACAAAAAATACGCTGGTTTGAGCCGATATGTGAGAGTTCGTATTGTCATGGTGTACAATGATTCGTCTCCTCTTTGTTATATCCTGATCCACTCTAAGGTGGAGAACACAAACCGAAATGGCGTTTTATTTCTAAACATTTTACTCGAGAAAATTTGGTTGAGTAAAAATGGTAAATAAGAAACCTAACTTCTGATTGACTGTTGTGTTGGTTTGGAAAGATTGCCATCCACTTTTGAAATTTTTACTAGTTTTCCGTTCCACAACTGTTTGCGAGATTTAAAATGACGTACAATCAAAGTGGATGATATAAACATTTTTCAAATTAAAATGTATTTCTGGCTTTCATTTTCATTGCAACTTTGATCATGATAAATAAATGAAAATAAAATATATCAGTTTTATATCAATTTGTTAATGTGAAGCCCAATAAAACTTCGTTTAAACTAATTCTGGTCTAGAATGGGTTTGGGAAAAGTAAAATGAAATGATTTTTTGGTCGTTCTCAGTGAAACATTGCATTAATATTGGCTCAGTTAAAGTTCTCTTATTTGTCTGCTGTTACTCTTAGGATTTTCCTATGAAAGAACAACAAATCATTGGTCCACTAGGAGGATATAATATGCCGTAATAATGTAACAACAAAAGTAAATGATTACCCATTCCTGCATTGTCATCGCGTTCAATATCATCGACATTGCCATCATCTTCACTTCGTCAAAGTCATCATTTACAAACAATGCTGCCTGGTGGAGTTGGAGGAAGCAACAGCATTTTGTTTCTGCTCGACATCTTTATCATCATAAACTCCGGAGCATATTCTCTGCTTATTTAAACAGAAAATTGCATTTTCTTTTATTATTCGGTATTCCCTCAGACGACATTCCTCAGACATTGCAAAGTCATAAGAATCAAGTGGAAATGGAGCGAGAGAGGGAGGAAGGAGGGGAGGGGAGGGGAAAGTAGATGGAGCAGTGCACTCGTCACGGTGCAGTACTCATAATGATTACTTTATTGGGTCGTTTAGTGGCATTTACGGGTAATGAAGGAAGAAGTGATGACTGGGATGATAACAACTGCTCATCAATGATCAAATAAAATGTGTTGCTTCTATTGTCATCTTCTCGTGAAGACGAATCGTTCTGGGAGTGTGCGAAATGTTGTGGTCATGGAAGACAGAAATCTGTTGTGATGCTGTATCTTAGAATGTATTACCGTATGTATGAATTGAATCCGCATCAGCAACATACGAGTATTACAACAAATAACTGTTGTAGTACAATGATATGTCAAAACTATTTTGCAAAACCTACCGATACATGCGATTTGTTACGCAAATTGATTCAGAAAATGTTTTAACCCTTTGTGGCTCAATATTCCCCACAGGCAAAAAATGTTTTAGAGCTAATAGATATATATTCTTTGGATTTCATATATGAAGTCCTGTTTATGGACAATACATATCAAAATTGGAACACACAGTACAAATCCAAATTTAAATCGCTTCTTATTCGAATTCGCTTCGTAGTGTGAATGTTGTCATTAGAATTATTTTTGATTCTTGTAAAAAAGAATATGAAGAAATGATTTTTCCTTAAATTTTGCATTTGGTTTTTCAAATATCAAGGGACTTTTATTTTTCAGAAATGATGTACTGTATCCCCCGAATGCAAGGATGTGGCGATGTCAAATGTTATTCATATCCTATTTAGGATAGTTGCACTAAATCTGTGAACAAAGAATTGTTCTATGATTACGGAACAAATCGGGGACACAAAGGGTTGAATATATTGACAAACGAGATCTTCTAAATTCGGATATGTTCATTTATTGATTTGTTTGTTTTTAAATTACATTATTTGTACCAGCAACTGTGTGGATGATGCTATCTTGGTAAATCTGCCTTTGTCCTGTGTGTATTTAGACGATGCTTATCATAATACTCTTTAAATACCGTTCATACTAGATTGTCATGATACTTTAAGGATGTTACACATACACACACATGTTATTCTAATACACATTTCACGATTTCGTTACAGGTGTCACAATGCGGGAGAAAAAGAGTGGTGCCCTACAGAAACTCAAGAAGAGGCTTTCACACAGTTTCGGAAGATTAAGTAAGTGCAGCATGCCAAGTATTTGTATTACCTATGATATTGCCCTCATCGCCCCGTCTTCAACGAGGTTGGTGTACATTTCAATGACCATATTTATCTTTGAATGAATTACTTCAAACTTTTCATTGTCTCCGTTCGCGTCACACCAGTGAAAACTTCAGTCAGCGTCGCATTGTAAAACTGTGCGGTGTGCAAAGTAGATAATCACTATCTAACAGCTACGGTTATCATCTGAGTTATAATCTGTCCTTAAGAAGGTATATCCGTTCCACTTCGTCCGGTTTCAATGTTGATGTTGCAGCTGTTTAGCATAGTCTGTGCATACAAGTCAGCAGTGAAAAGACTTTATCCCGAATCAGTGTAGCGGACATTTGTATTAGATAATTTATGGGCATTTATGGGATTCCATTGTAAGAAAATATGAAAAACATGTAACTAAAAATGACATTTGTTCGATATATAGACTATATGTAGGAATAGAGCTAGATTTGAAAGAACGAAGGAAACGGAAAAGAAGTGAACATTGTATACAGTGGAGTATAGGCTTGAACTGGAACAGATTTTCTGTTTCTGTTTAATACATATATAATTAGGCGCACCATTGGTACTAAAAGTTAACCTATATTATAACAAGGTACTGATTTTTGTACCTCATATTTCACCATGTAATTCTTTCCCAGGTGATATGTGCTGCTAATCTAAAATTCATGAGGCCCATTACCATTTCTCGACTCGTTATTAATTTCTTCTTTCCTTAGAATAGAGGCAGACAATTAAGAACTATGTATCTATTGTTAGCATTTGAGTAAACATTTTAGGTTGAATTCAAAGCAAAATTAATTTAACCTCTTAAATAGGGAAGAAACTCCCTTCAATCTAAAAGATGTACTTCTGCAACAAATATTGAATACATTTACACTTTCTGTGTCATTTTTTTTTTTTTTTTGTTTTTCTCATCTTTTTATAAGATTTCAACAAATTGCCGAGTTATTTCGAAACTTCATTTCGAAATCTTACCTGTGGTGTGATCCTGCTTTGATATAAATGCATACTCTTTCGTATGTTCAGTACAAAGTACAAATGTCAAACTAAAAAAAATATGTAACCAATAAAATTTGCCATACGAGCACTTAAGCACTGTATTGGAATAGTTGTTCAATTTTAAAAATGTTCAAATGTCTATTTTATTCGCAGCTCTCAAAAGTTAAATGCGCAATCAAAATTATAGAGTTCCGCAGACTGGTCTCATTTTTGTACCTGTCCTGCATTTACAATCATTTTTATGCTGTTCGTTTTTCCAGCATGTTCAAATAATTTGTTTTGCAAAAACACTGTCCCCAGAATTATATTGCGTATAATATAAAGTACAAAAATGCATTGTCCTCTTAATAGCTTTCCTAAGAGATATCCTGTTGTTCTACACAACTGTATTCCGTAAGTCACTGATATTCAATTTGCTGCGTTGGCGAAGAAAGAAAGGTTAATTGGTGTTTTTGCATCACCCTTTGATGCAGGAATCCATCGTGATGCGGGACAATACCCACTTCCACATTTGCCATGACCGAATAAAGTCTGAGGCACTTTTACACAAAATATCCTAAAGTGATTTTTTTTTTTTCAGGAACAGAAGGTTGGGGATGTGACGCAGATTACAGCTCTACTGTGTGTGTTCACAAATGAAGGGCCAGTCTTTGTTAGCACTTTTCACTTCAGTTTTCTTTTTTATTTGTGATGATTCCTCCGTCTTTCTTTTGTGATTTTTCGAAATTGTCGTTCGAAAAAGTCATGCCAAGTGAGGCTTAAAATGTTAATCCAGTTGAGTGAATGCTTGTCCCATCATGATGGTTCTGGGGATTTGGCATATTAAAGAATTAGCGAAAAAAGTTTACTGTAAATGAATATGTCGACGCTTTAAAATTCCGTCATTCTTATACATTTCACGATTGCTGTGTCTGTCGCATCTCTACATAAAGTATTCCATTCTGGAATGATGTTTAATTTCTGGAGGGGAAAAAACAGTACAAGTAAATTAAAACCAATGGCGACGGTAAAATAAACTGACCTAACCTGGCCAGTTACAACTTGCATCAAATGTATTCCCAGTTATTTGAACGAATATATAGATGTTCTGAAATTGTTCAGATCGACCAACTGCCCTCAATCTTTGGAGCCGACAAGGCATGTTTTGTAGCAGAGTAGTTTACATAATGTATTTCATCGATCTATCGGCCTGCGTTTAATGATTTCTTGTTGTGGCTACTTTTTTATGCCACTCGTTTCACATTTTCATAGCCCAACTCCTTCGAACAGTCGTAATCGTTCATTCATTTTGCTCTGTTTGTTGCTGTTGTTGACATCGGTATTGACATGTTAAATAGGAAACCATTATCGTCATCCAAGCCGATAATAAATGCCAGATAACACTTGAGTAGACAACATTCAAGTGTGACTCTGAACTCTTTGTGATGGAACGATGATATCAACAATGGATGAACGAACGGAAGCCTATCTGTCAATGGCAGCATCTCTAGAACACAAAACGAAATCCATAATTTACACAAAATATTGTATTCAAAATTTGTATTACAACTTATTGTCGTCGTTGTCTTTAGTGCCGACTGTTAAATTAATACCAGAGTGCCATTCAGGAGAAAAAGAACAATTTGTAAGGGGTCATGTCGTCATCCATATCGTCTATTCCACTCATGACGAAAAAGGCTTTCTTTACGCATTTCCAAGGTGTGTGTCAAATTGTATAGTAAACTATATTCTCTGGGAACCATATATTTGTCATATAAGCATAATAAATGATATTAAATTTGTCATATACATATTGTGGAACATAAATAAATATAGTGCTCTACTGATTGTACGTATATTGCTTAGGTAAAAGCACACCCTTCTTCTGGCCACTGCCTTCTGTTATAATTCCTAAAGAAACAACTCATTCTTTTTGAAATGGAATCCATTCTAAAACAATTCGGTATTCAAATTCGCAGTGTAACGAACGATACATCATTTTTATTAAAACCGAAATGGATTCGATGCACGTTTTCGTGGGTTTCGCTTGTGAAATGATATGAAACAACGGCGAGGATGATGACGATGTACGCCTTTCCCGCCCTAGGCCTCTTTCCCCGTTCACCAAGAGTGGTCTGTCTTGGGTTCGGCACAGATATTTACTTGATTTATTTAAATTTTCTTGTTTTCATGCTATGCTTTTTGTTGTTATTTATTGCGTATTGCCGCTGATAATCAACCGGACAAGTTCAATGACTGATGAGGGGTCGGTTGGCATTCAGATGGATTTCGTTTCGAAGTTGTCACATGGATTGTTGATATTGACTTTGTTCGGTGACATTTTTATTCTCCTTTTTTGAGACAACTAAATTGGGTTGTGAAGTCGTTTAGTGTTGACTATATGCAATTTGTAGTAAAACAATTACTAATAATGAATAGCAATGGGAAGCCTGTTTCGTTAAAGTTTTTCTTTAAAAACGAATTCAGTCGATGGGTAATAAAAGATGAACTCCGAAGTAAATGTAATTGTATATTCGATCACTATGAACTTTTTATCACACTTCATTGAGCTTTCCTTGAATAAAATTTGTTCTTGGTCAAGAAATTATTTTATGAACAAACATGTTTCTCTGTATCTCTTAAATTGCGTAACTATATCACTGACATTCCATTTTTCGAACGTATTTCGAACAAGACCCCCAAAAAAGTATATCTTCCACTCCGTTTTTGGTTTCTTCTCTTTCGGATCTCAACTACAATAGCATGCAATACTTATTATTTGATGCGCTTGTTTGTATTTCTAGTACTTTTTTGTTCTATGCTATTCATTGTTTTTTTTATTCTCTTTGCCTCTACTTTAGAACTGTGGAACATTGCTTAAGTAAATATTATGGGTATGTGGAGAGAAATAAACAAACAAAACAAAAAAGAAAGAAAAATTCCGTAATTTGTTGTTGCAAAACATCTTTATGTGGCATGCCACTAGAGAATGCTTCAACTGTATCTAGAAGTGGTGGGCGGCGAAGAAGGCAAATATCGGCCAGGAGAGATATGTGTGTCGTGGGCAGTGTTGCCAAAACTTCGTTGAGGAAAAATGCTAGATTTTGTTGAAAAAAATGCTAGAAAGTGCTAAAAAATTAAAAAAAGTGTCAGAAAAAAGTGCTAAAAATTTCTAGAACAATACCCCATTTATTCTTAACGGTTATTCGTTGTCGATTTAACCATGTCCGTCCGATTGAGGTCTCAATATTTAAGACAGAGCTTTGGAATTTTGCACATACGTTGGTACTACTCGGTCGTTTTTGGGTACACCATACCCCAATATTTGTTTTTTTAAGCTTTTAGGCGCATTTTTCAACCTAAATTGCTGTATATTTGTATATTGCTTTCTACCTGGATATATACATTTGTAATAAATTTCCACTCTTAAGGGTATCATCAATTGCATTGGTTTTAATTTGATTGTTTAAATTTTGTTGAGTAAAAATCTCCTTATCAAAAATTATTAATATGGGTTCATATAGGGGTAGCCCCTTCGGCACCCTCCCCATTATTGAATTTTAGGCGGACATGCAACCGAATTTACAATTTTTTTTTTTCTATTTTTTGTTTTGATGGGGTTTGAAGTCTTCCTACTAAAATATAAATACTAATAATGTCCAAATTTGGTTAAGGTAAATAGCTGTAATTTCAAATTGCGTACAAATATGAAGACAATTATCAATTTTCGTCCCATTGCGTACTTTTAAGGGTTTATAATCTCATTCCCAACAGCGACTTTAATATAAAAAATATATTTGCCGGAATTTTTTATTTTGGTCTTTATTCTGGCACAATCCCAATATAAAGGGGTACACCCGCCTTTTCGGTAATCTAAAGTGGTTATAACTTGGCATTCGGGATTCCAACTTGTTTTCAGAAAGTTCCAACATAATTCATGTTCATTATTTTTACATCGCTCTCATAAAATGTACAACTTT